TGTAAAAATTGTTGTACTAAATTTAATTAAAATTAAATATAAAATATAAAATTAAAATATAAAAAGAATATGAATGTACTATAAATCTAAGATTTTAAGTTAAAAATCTAATATTCTAAATTAAAAATTTTTAAATTTAAACATTAAATTTGATAAAAAGGAATTTGAAAATGATTATAAATTATTTCTCTTATATAACTTATTATTTTATATATGTCAAAAAAAATTTATATCACCATTTACCAAAGAGTTAAGCTTGTAAAATTTATTCAAAAGTAATTTTCCATAAATTAAGATTGCAAATGAACTAATAAATACTTCATAGCCATCATAACTAATAAATACTTCATATAAAATAATCAAAACCAATGGAAATACCTTTAAAGGTTGGATTAAGTGGTAGTCAAATCTTGTCTTATATATGAAGCTTAAAATTCAAATATTAGAGTTACCAATTAAGAAAGTTAATTTTTTAAGATCTACTAAACTGATGTAAGATTTTGACTCTTAAGACTAGTAGAAAAAGAATTAGTTCTATGATAGGTGAAATTTAATATAAAATACCCTACTATTCCAAATTAAAAGGCAAAAAAAATTATTACCTTAAATGAGGAATTCAATGATTAATAGTTTAAAATTTTAAGTTCAATACTTAAAAATTAAATTTTGAATCAGATCAAGAAGAATTTAAAAAATTGAAAGAGTTTTTTTTATATATATAATATATTATTATCATATTAAAAAAAATTATCATGAGATTATACACATTCTTTTACAAATCGTGAGGGGCTATGCACCATAAAATAACCCTCCTAAGTCCTAAAGAGACTTCCAGCATGTTTTGAATAAGGAAAAAAGAAAGGAAATTTTTTATTTTATTTGAATTTGAACAAAAATAATAGTAATAAAGAACAGGGAAGAAAAGGTCGGAGATTAAAGAAAAATTTTTTTATTTGAATTTGAATAATAATAATAATAATAGTAAGAAAATGACAGAGAAAGAAAATAGGAGACCACTTAATTTAACTTCTATTTCTTTCCCTCTTCTTTCTTCGATTTCTCTTAAAGTAGACATTCTTTTTAACTTTAATAATGGCAAGATATTTTCTATGGGCAAGAATAATTTATAGAAAAACTGGAACATACTTACTCCTATACAATTGGTATAAAATTATATGTCTTTCTGTCAAAATTAGTCGCACTTGCAGCTTTGATTGCTTTGTTAAGATGCATTTAAATTTATAATTTTGGTTAAAATTTAAAATTGTAGTATACAGTCTTCTTTTCCTCCCCTCACATTTTTCTTTGTTCAAAAAAAAAAAAAGTCAAAAAAGAATTATTGAAATTCTTTTTAATTTTTTTAACTTATGTCTTAATTTTAAGTATAAGTTAAAAATATAATTAATATTTTTTTAATTATTAACTTACTTAAAAATAAATTTTAATTTTATAACTAATTAATTAAATTAATACATAGATATTAACTATAAGTGTTACTAATATTATTTTATGAATTATATTTATAGTTTATAATTTAAAATTAATACTTAAAAAAATAATTTTTTGAAATGCACTAGATTTATAAGAGTGCATAAATTATCTAAAAAATCAATTTCAATGTAAATAAAAACTAACTAGAGAACCAAAAAAACTAACTATAGGCACACCAATTATAAATAAAAAATTATAAGTGATATTAATATTAAAATTAATATTAATTTTTTTATTTTCTTATAATTTTTTATTTTCATATCGTATTTAATGACTAAAAGAAATATTAATTACCGCTTAAAGGACACCAAAAAACCTACTTTTTTTCTCTCCCATAATTTATGGGAGAAAATTTTATAAAATAATATAATAAAAAATAAAGCTATAAATATTGCGCGACCTATAGTTTCTTAGAGCGTCTCTCCTAGCGTCGGTTTCTCCCTTCGGATAAAGCGGTGGTTCTTTGGTTTTCTCTGTTCGAAGAAAGAAAACAAAACAGATAAAGGGGAAAAGGAAGTAATGGAGAGATCTCTTAATGGCATCAACGTCGATGATTACGGTACAGAGCTTCTACCGCCGAACGACGAGTCGGCGGCCTCGTCTTGGCGTCTCAGCACGCACAAGTTTCGCTTTCCCGAACAGACAATCTCCGATGGCCGTGGACGATCCGGCACTCGCTTCTCTGGCCTTCTTTTCACTCCGAGTACGTCTCTTTGCTCACCACTACCACGCGTTTTCCTTCACATATATTATTTCTTTTTTTATTTCTGTTTCTTTTCGTGGAAAAACTTTCTATTTTTATGGTCTGTCTCTCTTTCTCATGTTCAGATCTGCAGTTTCATTCTCTCTTTCTTGCTTTTTTTCGTTCTTTTTTGGGTTTCTACGATAAAGAACGCCTGCTTTGGCTATGGCGATAAGATTCCTTTGAGTGGAATCCTAATCGATTGTTTGAGGAAGGTCCAGATTTTTTGTAGGAAAAGTTAGATATATTTTATTTTTGTTTCACATCTTTTGGAATCATCTAGCTGAAACAAATTATTAAATTAATCAAATTGGTAAAGTGAGTAAACGATATTAAGAAAACATTACGTACAAGTTGGGGAAGGTAAAGGTACATACGTCTCGCGTGAAGACTGTGTTGAAGGGAAGTCCGGATAATTATTATTATTATTATTTTTTAGTGTAAATTTCAGAAACATCAATTTAAGACTTGACTAACTCTGCTTTACCTTAGTATCAGATGATGTTTTCATTTAATCAAAAAGGGGAAAAAAAAAGGTAATTTATATATAGCATGTTAAATTTTCGTATGGAATTAATGTTGCGAAAAATCAAAAAGTCAAACTAGTTCGAGTAAAGTTGAATGGAGGGAGCATATTGTTTGTAATCCATCAGCAAGGATGTTGTCTTTTCTTGTACTAAATCACATGTCAAGCTTTATAAACAATAATAAGGCAATCTGTTTTTTAGTTTGCAGCTCTGTCAAAAGGCAATTCAGTTATTTTTATGTTTATCTTAGATGTTAGTCTGGGAATACATCATTGACATTTGTATAACTGCCTGCGAAGATCTTTCTTTTATTGATATTATTTGGTCACCTGCTAAATGCATCTCTGTCTCATAATATATGTTTTTTGTTTCTTACCGTGCAAGATATGTCCATATTCGGTTAGGTGGGACATTAAGTTATGGACTCTGTCTAGTCAAAAAGCCTTTAATGCGTTTTAATTTCATTGTTTCATTTATTATTATTATTATTATTATTATTATTATTATTATTATTTGTTTTTTTGGTTCTTGATTCAGGGAAACAACGCAGGGTTTCAGAATACTACAAAAAGCAAAAAAGGCTTCTTGAAGGGTTCAATGAAATGGAGACAGTGACTGAAACGGGTTCTTTTCCTGGAAGTCTGTCTGAGGTTGTTTTTACTTATTGTTATTTAATCATTTTTGTTTTACCTTCATTAAATTTGAGAATGAGAATGGAGTCTTCACGCATCAATGAATAGCCTGTTGAAGCAGATCAATTTGCTTTTCTATCTTTCCTTTCAACTAAAATTTTGAAGCTTTCTTTTGTTTTCAGCCCCAACAACATCTCAAAATTAACCAATTGATTCCAAAAATTATATTCAATCTAAATTCTTGTAGATGCACTGTTCTCATTGAATGAAAGGAATTGTTTATACATGTTCATCTTATTTCCTTTAGGATTCTTCATACAATGATGTTCTTCTCCTATACGTGACATCTTGTCTATGGAAAAATTGAATTTAATCTAAGATTACTTTTACTTCCTCCTTAGGATGAGATGAAGAAGCTTGCAAGGAGTGAGAAATTTGCCGTTCATGCATCAAACATAGCTAACATCGTGCTCTTTGTGGCAAAGATCTATGCTTCAGTTATGAGTAAATCAATGGCCGTTATTGCTTCAACCCTGGATTCATTCTTGGATCTACTGTCAGGATTTATTTTGTGGTTCACCGCACATGCCATGAAGAAACCAAATCATTATCGGTATCCAATTGGGAAGAATCGCATGCAACCAGTGGTAAGTTATTTGCTGCTTTAACATCATACTTACATCCTTAGTGGACGTCCCGCTCTTTGTTTCTTATTTTGTTGCCTTTGTAAATGTCAGTTTGTAACAATTTAGAATCTCCAAGTTACCAACAATCTCCATTTATATTGCTGCTTTGTGAAGCATGTTCATCAGCACTTTGTAGACAGAATGAATGGTGATCCTTAAGTAGCATTGTAGCAATGCAAGTCCATTGAGATGTGCTTTGAAGGAGATGTTGGACTGATCATAAATTGACCTTTTGAAAGAAATACTGGTCATTAATTAAGATCCAGGTTTGGCTGAACAGATATTATCTCTCCTTCCCGAACCCGTGAGCCTGAAAGGAATCATTCGCCAATAGATAAGTGAGATATGACCAATCGGTGGCCTTTTGTAGGTTGGTCAACTATGATTTAGGTGTAAACATCTTTGGATGTTGATGGTTACTTATCATGTAAGTGAGTCTGGTATGTAAATGTGGAGACTAATCACTACTAACATTTTGAGTTTGAACTTTTAATGGTTCATGGACCTTGACCTAAAGAGTTTTTAGGTCAGTGATTGGATTTTGGCTCAGATTGTTTCAATTGATATAAGAGCGGTTACCTCTCACAGGAGTGAACCCACAATCATTTTAGCAATGCACATCAATGCACATTTAAGTGGGGAGGGTCATTTCATATCAAATCACTAACTGAACTGGGACAATGTATTAAATACTCATGATATTCGGCCCCAAAGTGTTGACTCCATATGTCATCAGACAGAGCTAGGACCATCCTTTTTAATTGGTTTTCATTATACTTGATGTAAAATCACCTTTTTGTATTAAAAGAAATTTGATTCTCACTTTACTGTAAAAATGTTCCCTTAATTTACTTTTACATCAAAACTTGAATATGTTCTCCTACTAACCAAGCTTGAAAATGTAGGGTATCATTGTTTTTGCATCTGTGATGGCAACTCTTGGATTGCAAATCATTCTTGAGTCTGTTAGGCAATTCTTTACGAAGGTATGCTGCCTTGATCTTCCTTGGTGCAAAATGTCAAGGATTGTGTAGGCTGATAAGTTCTTGTGAGATTTTTAGCTTAAAGTCATGGGATACAAGGAAATATTTATAACTTATTTATTGGCAGAAGCCAGGTTGTTTGTCAATCCGTACCATTGACTATTGTCTTGTAGATTAGGTTCCACAATTATTTTAAATATAGAAACAATTCTAATTCATTCTTCTTAATTTTGGCTATAGTCTGGCCCTAAGATGAATGCTGAGCAGGAGAAATGGATGATTGGGATAATGGTTTCTGTCACAATAGTGAAGTTAATTCTCATGGTTTATTGCCGGCGATTCAAAAATGAAATAATTAGAGCATATGCACAGGATCACTTCTTTGATGTGATTACCAATTCAGTTGGTCTAGTCACAGCTGTCCTTGCGATTCATTTCCGCTGGTGGATTGATCCTACTGGAGCTATAATTGTGAGTTCAGAGCCCTCCAAACTTCTTACCATGCTTTATTTGATTTAGCATTTTTTTTAGCTATTATGGTTTCCCCTATGACTGCAAAGAAACTGCAGTGACTCTTCTTGTTGCCTTGAATTCACGTTATTCACTTCTCTTTAGGAGAGTGTACAAATACATACTATCAAATCCGAACTGTAATTTCATTGTTATATTGTGCATTGTGCTATCAAATATTGAAGCTGAGCACCTTCAACCATAACAGCATTGTTTGTATTGATTGCATTTCTTGAACCTATGTTGCAGATTGCACTGTACACAATTGGCACCTGGGCAAGAACGGTATTGGAGAATGTAGGTTCACTAATTGGAAGATCAGCTCCTCCTGATTTTCTA